TAACGTACAAATGTTAATGGTCCAGATGGTTGGGTCGCGGGTTCGATCCCCGTCACACCAAACATACTCGCCCTTTCAGCCGTGGGGGTGATATAATGGGACGGTCAATCCCACTATTTATTGATAAAATGCTTTCTTTAAACTGGATAAATGCTGCTTACTTTGAGGCTGTAACTTACAAATGTTAATGGTCCAGATGGTTGGGTCGCGGGTTCGATCCCCGTCACACCAAACATACTCGCCCTTTCAGCAGCCGTGGGGGTGATATAATGTGACGGTCAATCCCACTATTTATTGATAAAAGAGTACCTCATGAGTTGACTAGCTTCCTTCCCTCTAGTCTTACACCGCTAAATTAGGGACGGCTAGCGAAGATAGCCCTCGTGTAGCTTTGCGCGAAATTCATAACAAACTAAACTACTCTTAATATACATCTAAGTATGTTTTCTATGCAATGTGAAAAGAGTCGTTACGGCCCTCGTGAATTTCTCTTTACACACAAAGCGATTTACAGAGTTTATTTTTCATGATAACACACGACGTAATATCAAATCATTATTGTATTTCAACAAGTCATTTTATTGAGTTTCTTCCTGACTTGTGGTTTACTATATATATATATATTCATACTTGAGATGAAGGATAGACGTTTAAATACGTTTTCTTGCTATTTATTTAGATTAGACTTAGAAATTACTTATCCTACTGTTTAATTGAGATAGGGGCGCGGGTTGCTCTATGACATAACTCTCTGGATTCCGGGCTCAAATCCGTGCAACACCACAAAGTATTTCCCGCTCTTTAAGCTGTTGGTATGTTATAAGAGTGACATTCAGTCTCTTAATGTGGGTGGTAGGGCGCTACTAACGGGTAGGGACGGTGGCAGATAACCATAGTATCTTTGCCATTAATACATTTTTTATTCAAATGCTTGAAAAACACATGTAAATTAATTCCTATTCTTTGTCATTCAGAATAACTCCAAAAGTTTTCATTGTGTTTCTTTTTGTAAAATGAACATTTAAGCAAGTATGATTACTTCAACCGATGGTAAGTGAACTTATTATATTTAGAATGGAAAAATTAATATTTTTTTTTCAGAATAAACAAAATAACGCATTGTTTTCATTTAACACAGACGCGTGAAATATTTTTTCCTTCATGTTACTTTAGGTCAAATTACAGAGGTCGATCTGTACCTTTTAACCAAGATTCCTTTCCACTTTTGACCTTGTTAAAACGATGTGGACATGTTTTATTTGAAATTGTCAATTACCGTTGTTCGATTTAAAAACTGCCATAGGAATGAGGTGATTTAGTAAAATGCTTAAATCCATCCCTCAATCCGTTATTGGCTACAACGAGGACACCCATGTAAGTGGACAAAGAAGATGGTTTCTGTTCTGATCGTGATCAGTCACGGACGAAGTGCTTTATCTATTCATCTCTCGTTCTCGTTCGAACGTTCTAACTTCAGAACGATAACCCATTTCAGCCTTAAGTTCGATCTTAAAACTCATTGTATATTGTTGAATAATTACAAACGGAATAAAGTGTGCAAGAAAAGCGTGATAATCTTGGATATTTTCTTGTTATTTATTTGTTGTTAAGCAAATGTTTATTGGCTTTGTTTTACAATTCGTGTAAAACTACACGAGGACTATCTGCACCACCAGTTCCTAAATTAGCAGTGAAAGACTAGAGGGAAGGCAGCTAGTCTAGTCAACACCGTCAACTCTTGGGCTACTCTTTTACCAACGAAGGAGGAAGTGGTAGATACGTGTGTGTGTGTGTGTGTCTTAGAAAGAGTCAATTTAGTCAGTATCACTGTTTGAGGAAGTGGTAGATAAGTGTGTGTGTGTCTTAGAAAGAGTCAATTTAGTCAGTATCACTGTTTGAGGAAGTGGTAGATAAGTGTGTGTGTGTCTTAGAACAGAGTCAATTTAATCAGTATCACTGTTTAACCACCTGGCCATGCCGGGCCAAGTCTTGTAGTAACAGCTATTGTTATTAATTAGATACAAATCCAAACCAAATAACAACTTTAAAAAATCACGAGTCTTGTAGTAACAGCTATTGTTATTAATTAGGGACAAATCCAAACCAAATAACAGGTTTAACAAAAACACGAGTCTTGTAGTAACAGTTATTGTTATTAATTATGGACAAATCCAAACCAAATAAAAGCTCTAAAAAAACACGAGTCTTGTAGTAACAGCTATTGTTATCAATTAGAGACTAATTCAAACCAAATAACAGCTTTAACAAAGTCGCAAGTCTTGTAGTAACAGCTATTTTATTAATTTTAAAGAATCACAAGTTTTGTAATTTTACTTAATGTTATTAAAATGACACAAATACAAACAAAATTCTAGCTTTACAAAACAAAAGTAGTTATATAATATTACACTAATTTTATCAGGCACACATTGAAACAAAACTATGTTTTATAAAACCGTGATCCGACTAATGTTTAATAAACAAATCTTCTGTTTACATATTTTTTACAACTTTCTCTTTAAATTAGACACAAGATATGTCATTTGAAATCTTAATATGTAGCTTACAATGTTTTTACATTTACACAAGGCAGAGAAAAACCTGAAGCGATGGATGGATGAGTGAGTGATATACAGCGAAGCTGGTCAGAATACCAGCACAGCCTGATGCATAGATAGATGAGTTGTCAGATAGAGGTGTATCAATTACGATGAACATACGATGGTTGAGTTGTATGGTTCATGAAGAATATTGCAAACATATTCCCGTAGTGCCTAAAACAAAAACATAAAAGCAATAGTTGTTAATTCGCCATTGTTCATAAGTGTGTGTGTCTTAAAAAAAAAAGAGTCAACTGAGTCAGTATGTGTGTTCAAGGAAGTGGTAGATAAATGTGTGTTTGTCTAAGACAAGAGTCAACTGAGTCAGTATGTTCAAGGAAGTGGTAGGTAAATGTGTGTGTCTTAAACAAGAGTCAACTGAGTCAGTATCTGTGTTCAAGGAAGTGGTAGGTAAATGTGTGTGTCTTAAACAAGAGTCAACTGAGTCAGTATCTGTGTTCAAGGAAGTGATTGATAAGTGTGTGTGTCTTAGACAAGAGTCAACTGAGTCAGTATCACTGATCAAGGAAGTGGTAGATAAATGTATGTGTCTTAGACAAGAGTCAACTGAGTCAGTATCTATGTTAAAGGAAGTGGTTGATATGTGTGTGTGTGTTTTAGACAAGAGTCAACTGAGTCAGTATCTGTGTTCAAGGAAGTGGTAGGTAAATGTCTGTGTCTTAAACAAGAGTCAACTGAGTCAGTATCTATGTTAAAGGAAGTGGTTGATATGCGTGTGTGTTTTAGACAAGAGTCAACTGAGTCAGTATCTGTGTTCAAGGAAGTGATTGATAAGTGTGTATGTGTCTTAGACAAGAGTCAACTGAGTCAGTATCACTGTTCAAGGAAGTGGTAGATAAATGTCTGTGTCTTAAACAAGAGTCAACTGAGTCAGTATCTATGTTAAAGGATGTGGTTGATATGTGTGTGTGTTTTAGACAAGAGTCAACTGAGTCAGTATCTATGTTAAAGGAAGTGGTTGATAGGTGTGTGTGTTTTAGACAAGAGTCAACTGAGTCAGTATCACTGTTCAAGGAAGTGGTAGATAAATGTATGTGTTTTAGACAAGAGTCAACTGAGTCAGTATAACTGTTGAAGGAAGTGGGCATGGTTTTAAACAACAAACAAAACATTATTTATTGATTTATTGGTACAGTTCACTGTATAACATAATAAAATGATAACTGAACATCATTATATTTTACCTATGACAAAACTCCTGTTATAAAATCAATTCAGTCCCCACTGTTCAACTGTATAAAAAAAAACGCAGCTGATAATGTTTCGTGTGATTTGTCATTTAGCAGACATTTATAACTTAACATTTAGTAGATACGGTTTTACATTTCACTTCAGCATCGTGAGTGGTGGCCACCACAAATAGCAACTGATGTTACATTAAAACCAGAGTGTTCATAAGATGATTAGGTATCCTTCACCAGTCTCCAGGTGAGCATCTCCAGCAAGCACAATGAGGTTAAAATCCGGTGAGATTATACGTTACTCTATTTAATCCATCCCCCTCTTCTTCAAGAAATAGTTTGTTTGTTTGTTTGTTTTGAACTTCGCACAAAGCTACACGTGAGCTTTCTGCGCAAGCCGTCTCTAATTTAGCGGTGTAAGACTAGAGGGAAGGCAGCTAGTCATCACCACCCACCGCCAACTCTTTGGCTATTCTTTTACCAACGAATAGTGGGATTGACCGTCACATTATAACTCCCCCACAGCTGAAAGGGCGAGCATGTTTGGTGGGACGGGGATTCGAACCCGCGACCCCCAGATTGTGAGTCGAGCGCCCTAACTACTTGGCCATGCCGGGCCCTCAAGAAATGAATCAACCACTTTATTATGGTGGTGACAGACATTATAAACCATTATTATGAAGTCAGAGGAATTCCACCAGCATATCAAAGCACAAGGGGCCGTAAAATGTGATATCTATAAAATGCGACATTAAAAGTACAATTTCGCAGGTGTGGAGATCGGTTTGTCCGCCAGTGCTTATTTCTGACCACCACCACCATACGCATCACTTTCCTGTACGAAAATGGAATTGAACCTGATTTTATATTCGAATGAGCGTGTACCTATTACCTGGATACAGAGTGTTGTGAAGATAGCATTATTCTACATGTCGTTGATCAATCGCAAATACTGGTGCAGCTATTTCGTGTCTTCCTGTAAGCGGAAAACGCCTCGTTGCGAAGTATGTTTGTAATGATCTGTCTACCAAAACGGCGTCTAGTTGCGATTGTTAGCATCTGCTTCATTCTCGGAGCAGGTACTACAAGACTGCGACAAACCAGACTTGAAAATATTGTATATGAAAGCCAGTATTGCTCAGTTGTCTTAGCAACTGCATCATTGTTTTCGAAGCTATTCAGCATTCGGTTAAACAAAATTTGAGACGCGTTATGCCTAATCAGCTTCCACTTCTTCAATGGCTCTCTACATGAATACTTTTATATAAGATAGACTGAATGACCAATCATGTATGATTTACACAACAATAAATTCAGAAGGTTATTTTATAACAATGGTTTTGTCAAAGCAACAATATAACAGATTCCGATTCATCTTTATTTGTTTTGTGCAGAGCAATGTTACAACGTGTATAGATTTGCATTAACTACACATAACTCTTAAATAGTATTATTACACACCTCCGACTTGAAATCTGCAATGGGCTAATCAAGAAAAACGTGTCAAAAAACATCTACATTAAAACGTCATTTGAATCAGAAACATTAGGCCTAACTATTTTATTTGCTCCACCTTCTCATGCGTTTTCTCGTCGTATATAAATCAATATACTTTTGGCTGCCAGAGGTCCGGCTTAGCTGATGAGTTTTTGCATTGAATCACTTATCAATGATTTGTGGAGAACAATAGATATATCCGAAACTCTATTTTAGCACACTTCTCATTAATAATAATCAAGAGGTATACAACACAACATGATTTAAATCATAAATAACAAAACTATATAATATTAATTTAGTTCTTCTGGAACAGGAGTGAAAACGTTTAAGTAGTAAAGGGCCTCCAAATCCACTAAAGAGCTTTGACTGTCATACATTTATTTTAAGGCCAGTTGTTGCCTAGTGGAATGTGGATCCTATAATCCACGATCTGCATCCTGTTGCCGAAAAAAAAATATTGTTCCGCACTTTGAAGCTCTGGGTGTATTATAAGAGTGAGGGTCAAATCCCATTTTTCGATAAGAGAAATCAAAGAATTGGCGGTGAGTGCTAGTGACTAGCCGTCTAGCCTAGTCTTTCACGTGGGTAAAATAGTAGCCCAAGAAGTTGGCGGTGGGTGCTGGTGACTAGCCGTCTTTTCTCTACCCTTACAGTTCAGAATTAAGGGTGGCAAGCACAAATAGCTCCGCACGAATATCCAAAACAAATCAAGTCGAAAACATTTATTTTAGAGCTCTGTACTTTATTCCGTTGGAAATTGCATGTTCTATCATAGTTATATCAATTCTAAAGCCTAGGGACTTTACGCAAATTACAAAAAATTTTAAATAGGCATTTTACAGTTCGTTAACAAAATACAAAAGGGAGAAATACGTAAGTTTAGATAGTGTGTTCCACTAATTTCAATAACTCCCATATTACTTCATTTGCCTTTAAAACGACGTTCCGAACTCATTGCATAGTCTTTCGTCAGGTTTGAGGACATTTCATTAAAATAGGTTTCTGCCGTCACGTGCGTGGCGGTAAGATGTTTCAGAAAGTCATGCTCCTGCGACCTGGTGGTAAGATGTTTCAGAAAGTCATGCCTCTGCGACCTGGCGGTAAGATGTTTCAGAAAGTCATGCCTCTGCGACCTGGCGGTAAGATGTTTCAGAAAGTCATGCTCCTGCGACCTGGCGGTAAGATGTTTCAGAAAGTCATGCTCCTGCGACCTGGCGGTAAGATGTTTCAGAAAGTCATGCCTCTGCGACCTGCAACTTCATTTCTTATCATTACATAACTGTTGTTGATCTTCACGTGAGGTGAGCCTAGTTTGGTAAAACTAGCCGAGTTTTCTCTCGGATTTCCTCGTGGTAGTTTAAATATTCATCAAATATCTGATTTGTGGTCTACTTGAATTGATGATATCATGGATAATGTTCTATTTTACGTTGATGTTTTCCTTTTAGAAAATGATAAAAGAATCCATGGATGACCCGCTGTTCACTGCCATGTTGTTTTCACAATACTGTATGTATGGCCCGCTGGTCACTGCCATGTTGTTTTCACAATACTGTATGGATGACCCGCTGGTCACTGCCATGTTGTTTTCACAATACTGCATGTATGACCCGCTGTTCACTCCAATGTTGTTTTCACAATACTGCATGTATGACCCGCTGTTCACTCCAATGTTGTTTTCACAATACTGCATGTATGACCCGCTGTTCACTCCAATGTTGTTTTCACAATACTGTATGTAAGACCCGCTGGTCACTGCCATGTTGTTTTCACAATACTGTATAGATGACCCGCTGTTCACTGCCATGTTGTTTTCACAATATTGCATGTATGGACCCGCTGTTCACTGCCATGTTGCTTTCACAATACTGTATGTAAGACCCGCTGGTCACTGCCATGTTGTTTTCACAATACTGTATGGATGACCCGCTGTTCACTGCCATGTTGTTTTCACAATACTGCTGGGAATGACCCGCTGTTCACTGCCATGTTGTTTTCACAATACCGCATTTATGACCCGCTGGTCACTGCCATGTTGTTTTCACAATACTGTATGGATGACCCGCTGTTCACTGCCATGTTGTTTTCACAATACCGCATTTATGACCCGCTGGTCACTGCCATGTTGTTTTCACAATACTG